GGGTGGTGCGGCCGCCGGGCTCAGTGGCCTCAATCTGGTGCGGGTCGGCAGCTATGATGTGTGGTTGCCCCCACTCCAGCCAGTGAACGGCGGCGGCGGCGGCAGCAGCGGCGGCGCACTCCGTTTGCCGCAGGCGCTCCAGTCGAACGGCGGCGCCGCCGACTCGCCGCAAGCGGGCGCGCGGCAGCTGTCGCCGCGGCCGGCGCGGGTTGGCGGCCGGGAGCAGCAGCAGCAGCAGCAGCATCAGGAGCAGCAGCAGCAGGAGCAGCAGCAGCAGCAGCAGCAGCAGCAGCAGGAGCAGCAGCAGCCGGATTCAGAGGATTCCGACCCGCCTCGCGCCCTCAGTTTTGCGCAGGTCCTGGCCCGCAGCTCCGCCAAGCCGCCCCATGCCGGGCCGCGCGGCGCCAACCCGCAGCAGCTGTCGCCGTCTGTGACGCCGCCCTCGACGCCGGGCAGCGCGCGGCGACGGTCCAGCAGCAGCGATGCAGCGGCGCGCGGCGGGGCCGCTGCAGCGGAGGCGGGGGCAGGGGCGGCGGCTGCGGTCGGGCCGCTGCCGGACCTGGGTCCATTGCCCCTGCATGCTGAGCAGGTGCCGTCGCCTGGCAGTCAGCAGCAGCACCAGCAGCAGCAGCAGCACCACCAGCAGCAGCAGCAGCAGCAGCAGCAGCAGCAGCAGCAGCAGCAGCTCTGGCCCCCCGATCCGCACGCCGCTCTCGACCCCTGCGTCGCGGACGCATTCCTCGCCGACGCCCTCCTCGCCGCCCCCGCCCCCGCCGCCGCCGCCGCACCCTCGGATGGCGTCGTGGCTGGCGTCGCCGCCGCGGCGGGGCTGCCGCCGGCGGCGGTCGCGCTGCTGCGGATCATGGCGAGCAGCGAGGACGCTTTTTGGAGTATCCGGTGGCGGGACCTGGAGCCTGGGTTGGTCAAGAAGCTCGGGTCGGGCGGGTTCGGGCAGGTGGGCCATTCTGGGGCGCAAGCGGGCGCTTTGGTCGGTTGGTGGGTTGGTCTGTCGTGTGCATGAGGCCGCTCGGACGGGCTGGGTAAATGGCTGGTTGGGTTCGCTGGTTGGGTTGGCTGGTTGGTCGGGTCACGTGGCTGGTCGCGCGGCCGGTCGGGTCGCGGAGGGCGGGGGCGCGAGACCACAGAAACGCACCCCGCACTCAACGCCAATGCCAGGTGTGGCAGGGGCTGTACCTCAACGCTGACGTGGCGATCAAAATCCTCAACATTGGTGAGAAGCTCGGCGCGAAACGCACGCAAATCGACGTCGCAGAATGCGAGCGGCACGGCGGGGCTTGTTTTCTATTGAAAACGACGTCACGGCCACCCTTTTGCTCAGCTCAAAAGCACCTGGCAGTTTGAGGCAGGGCACATGTGTGTCTCCCCCGGCACCCCCTGGTGATCCCCCTTCCCCTGGCCGCTGTCCATGCTTTTCAAACTTGCAACGAACCCATCAAACCTGAAATTCACCCCCACCCGCCAGACTACGACGACCCCTCGTCGTTCTCGTTTGAGACGCTGCTGCGCTTCAAAAGTGAGGTGGACTACCAGCGGAAGCTGAGCCACCACCCCAACGTGAGGGGCAGGGGCGGACGGGGGCTAGGGGCGGGTGGTGTGTGGTGGTGGTGGTGGTTTGCGGGGTGCTTTCCCTGCGGGTTGGAGGCGGACGTGTCCGGCTGGGGCTGAGGGGCCGATCCAGCTCTGACAGCGCACGCGAGCCTGCCGATTTTCTTGGCCATACTACCCTCGAATCGATGCAGCCCCTGCGCTGGCGTGCTCAAATGTTGCATGAGTGGGTCTGCACTCATGCAACACACACACACACACACACACACACACAATCATTGACATTCACAAGCACACAGATACACACACACGCACACATTGACATTCACAAGCACACAGACACACACATACACAAATACACAAACTCTGCTACCCCAGGTCGTGCGCTTTGTGGGGGCGTGCTGCGAGCTACCTGAGGGCCTCACCAGCGCGATGCAGCTCTGGCCCGGTGGCCGCCCGCCGCAGGGCCACCTGTCGCCCGCCCTCGTGCGGGGCGTCAAGCTCGCCATCGTCATGGAGCTGTGAGCGCGTTCTTCCCGAGGGCCCCGGCGATCTGGTTGCATAGATCAATGCGTCCGAGGTTGCGGCTTCGCCGCAATCGCGTGCTCGTGGTGGTGCTGCTTTTGTTCGTTATAGTTGCAAGTGAGGCCGGCTGGTTGCAAAGCAAACTGCGCACCCCCCCTTACACACACACACACGCACCTGCTGACTCCAGCGCATCGTCGGCCTTGACCGCCCTCCACCCTCCCTCCACCCATGCCCCCTGTGGC